TGACCTATGGACCAGTATGTGGTCTATTTTAGAAAATGACCCATGTGCAGCTGAGAAAAATGTGTATTCAACTGTGTTTGGGTGGAACACTCTGTGTATGTCCACTAAGTCCATTTGTTCCAAGCTCTGGTTCAGGTCTGCTACTTTGCTGAATTTTCTCTGCTTGATCTATCTTTTAGGGATAAGGGGGTGTTAATGTCTCCAGTTAAGATTGTGCTATTAGATATTAGATTTTTCACATCCATTAAGATTTGTCATATATATTTGAGTGCTCCCATGTTTGGTGCGTACATATTTACGAGTGTTACCTCTTCCTCTTGAATCTTTCCCCTAACCAGTATATAGTGGCCTTCTTTATTTCATTTGATCATTCTTGGTTTGAAGTTGAGACTGTCTGAGAACAGGATTGCTACCCCTGCCTTTTTCTGAGGTGTTGGGGCATGTAGTATTTTCCATCTTTTGAATTTCAGCCTATGAATTTCTTTGAGTTAAGTGTGTTTCTTATATACAGCATATTGTTGGCTTTTGTTTCCTAATCCACTGTGCCAGTCCGTTTCTTTTTGAGTCCATTTACATTGATGATTATAATTGAGATGTATTGACTTATGATCGACACGTTATTTACCTGCTGTTGTTTACTTCTTTTAGTCCTGTGTTTAATTGCTTGCCCTATTTAGTGGGTTCCTTCTTTTCTCATTCATGGAGTTCTGATCATTTTGGTCCCTCTCTAGAATACTTTTTAGTAGTCTGTGTAGGGTTCGCTTTGTCATCATGAAATTCTTTAGTTATTTTTTGTCATGGAAGTATTTCACTCCTCCATCAAACTTGAAAGAGAGTTTTGTAGGGTATAGTAGTCTGGGCTGGAATTTGTTTTCATAGAGGACTTGAAGTACTCTGCCCCATGCTCTTCTTTTTTTTTTTTAATTTTTTATTTATTTATTTGTGTGTGTGTGTGTGTGTGTGTGTGTGGCCAGCTCAGCCCACCAGGGGGCGGGGCTGGCTGGCATGTGGTGCTGGGGGATTGAACCGCGGTCATCTGTGCTTTTGCTGAGCTTGTTCTAAGTAGGTACTTTAGACCACTGAGCCATCTCACCAGCCCCCCCATGTTCTTCTTGAGTTCATGGTTTGTGAAGAGAAGTCTGCCATTATTCTGATGGGTTTTCCTTTAAATGTGATGTATTTCTTTTCTCTAGCAGCTTTCAGTATATTGTTCTTGTGTTGAATTTCTGGGATCTTGAGTATTATATGTCTCAATGTGTTTTTAATTGGGTTGATGTTCTTTGGAGTTCTGTATGCTTCGGTTACCTGAATGTCAGATTGTTTCTCCATATTTTGGAAGTTTTCTGTCATTACTTCTGCCCATATTCTTTTTATATCATTTGTACTGACTCCTTCTTTCTCATTGATTCCTGTTAGTCTCACTTTGTACATCTTTGCATCATCTTGGAGGTGATGGATTATTTTTTTCCTGAATCCTAGTTGTTTTTAAGAGATCCTCTCTTACCTTTTCACTAGCTGCATCAGCGTCTTCAAGATCTGAAACTCTATCTTCACTTTTACTCAAACGGTTTTGCAAGCTTGTGATTAAGATTTTAAACTCCTCTGTATCTCCTTGACTCTGCTTCATGTGATCTATTTCTTTCCTATATTGCTCATTGAAGGATTCCATCATTTTTTAATCCCCTCTATTTTTATCAGCATCTTCTTCAGAATCAGTTATTAATTCTTTCATTATAGTTATCCTTTCTTTTTTATTTGAGATTATTTCTGATCTGATTTCCTCTGTTTCTGCATTTGATTCTTTACTTTAGACGCTATTAATTCAGAGATTTCTTTTTTATTTCAGAGGTTATTTCTGATCTCAGTTCCTCTATGCTTTTCTGCAATTCTTTCTTTACTTCAGACGCTATTTATTCAGACATTTCAACTGTGTGATTCCCAATTTCTTCTGCACTTGTTCTGGGTGGGCTTGGGGCCTGAGTTACATTTTGCTCCTTCTCTTTGTCATTTTGTATAGCACTGTCCTCCGACCTTTTGTGTAGAGCTTTGGTGCAGTTATAACCTCAGCACCTACTGAAATTTGGGTGCAGATCTATGACATTGAGTTCATCTAGTTGTGCCTGGCTTGGGTCTGGCTGCTGTGCTCAGCTTCTTCCTGCTGAAGCCCTTGGAAATGAACCTGTTGTCTCCATCTGGCAAGATGTTCTGCTCCTGTATTTTCTGGGTGGTTCTGGCCCCTTGCCTCTCTGTATGGACTTCATCTGCAGAGTTTTACCCCAGGCCTGTATTCCTAGGCATGGTCTGGATGGATTCAGAGAGCAGGACAGAAGAACTCACTCACAATTGGGCCCAGTCTGTGTCCGGATGGATCCAGCAGGCAAAGGAGAGCATGGAAGCTCTCCCACACACTTTCCTGGCTTGGCTTGGGCTGGGTCTGGAGGGGTTCTGAGAGCACAGCAGAAGTTCTCCCTGACACGCAGGACTTGGGCTCGAAAAACAGTGGTTAAATGTCATGAAGTAGGTGTCAATGTTTTAACCATATGCATGTTATCAGGCCCAAGGGCCTCTTCTATCCTTGTCAAGGGGAGTGCTAACCTACTCTCCTTTCATACAACAGTTTTACAGTCTATACAACAGTTTCATACTCTTTAATTCCCTGCTGTTCCTCCTTTTTCTCTCTGTCTTCTGCATATAAACACCTGATCTCTCAGTGATTGGCCACAACTGCTAGGCTGTAGAGTGAGGGTAGGTTTGGTTTTGCAAGGAACCCTGTTTTCCCAAGAAGCTGTATTGTTCTACACTTCCATCAGCAATCACAGCGAGTCTGTGCTCCTGCACACGTCTGAAGCCACAGCCTGCTGCCATTCTGGGGATCATGACCACTCTCATAAGTACATAACAATATCTTACTGTTATTATAATGATAAAATGGCATCATGTTGGACACTTTTTCCTGTTTATTTGCCATCTGCATGGCTTTTCTGGGGAAGATCTGTTCAGATATCTTTCCACTTTTAAGTTGGTTGTTAGTGTTCTTTTTATGAATTTTACGGGTTCATGGTATCTTTTATACAAGAATCTTTCATCAGCTGTATCTTCTGAAAATGTTTTCTTTTTTAATGATGATTGCATTTTTTTTTAATTTTAAAGAGAGAAAAAATGGTACAGAATTTTAAAACAAGAACAGAATATTAACCATAGTAGTTATGTTACATACTGTTAGCAAATTTGTTGTTGAGTATGATATTTTCTTTTTATTATAATTTTATTTTATTTTGAAGTGCAAAAACAAAAACAAGAACAAAAATCAGAAACCAAGACAGAAAGAGTGTAACATACAACAGTACATATATTACAGATAATCAAAATAAGAATAGCTGATTGGGGCCAGGGAGATGGCTCAGCAGAATAAGCGCTTCCCTGGTAAGCACAAGGGTCCGAGTTCAATCCCCAGTTCTGAAAAAAAAAAAAAATAGCTGATTAACAGTAGTTGGTTTATTTTATATACGAAAATATTTTCTGATGAATCTGTGGCTTGTCCTTTCATTTTCTTAACAGTGAATTTGTGAGGCATTTTTTTTAATGAAGTCAAATTTATCGATTTTTCTTTGTGAATTCTGTCCTTGACATTGTTCCTAAAAAGTCGCTGTCATAACCCTGGTTATGCAGAAGTCACCCCATGTTTTTTTAAAGAATTTTACACTTTTGTTTTTTCTATCTAATCCTGGAATTGTTTTTAATTTCAGTAGAAGTATAATATTTGGGCCTAGATTATTACGTGACAATCCACTTATTTTAGCACCGTTTGCAAGAACACTACATTTTCCTGTGGTACATAATTTGCTCCAGAGGGCAGATGACTGTATTAGTTTGATTTTATGTTTAATTCAGCTACAATGATTAATTGGCTCCTCTGTCAGTATCGTATTATATTTATTTATAGAACTTAATAAAATTTATGATTTAAGTAATATCAGTTATCTAGCTTTAGTATTTTTCAGTTTTATTTTGGGCAGACTAGGACTTCTGCTGCTCTGTGCAAACTATATGTGTTTCTTTTTTATGTTCAGTAGTGTTGCTCTGAGACTCAACTTTTTGTCTTTTCATATCTATCTGCAGGATTTCCTTGAAAATGGTATTCAGATCTTTGGTTTTAAACAGCATCTAACTGTTAGCAACTGTAACATTTCTCTAATTAGAAAGACTTCACTTCTGAACTCAAGTCTAATGTGTCTGCCTGCTTTTCTGCTTCTAAGTTAACTGCTGAATAAATCTAATGCATTTAAACTTGAGTAAAACGGAACACTTTACTACTGAAAATCCAACTGCTGTCTTCTCAGAATCAGTGGAGGTAATGACAATTTCATTCTTTTTTTTTCTTTTTTTTTTTAAGCTGCATTCTTTCCTTTCCTTGAGGATCAAGTATTTAATGAATATGTAATTTCTTTTTAACTTTGGGGGATCTTTCTTGTGATCTTCAAGATAGTTGTTCTAGAATTAGCAGTATCAGAGTATTGAAAAGCAGAAAGCTGGTGGAAAACGCACGGTCCAAGCTTTGTTGTGTACCAAGAAGCAAAAACATTCAGTCCAGTGTCCTGCTCTATGGAAAATCATATTTATCACTTTCTAGAACTAGTTTGCACAGCCAGGGTGAGCTGCAGAACAGTCTTGTAAATGAACAATAAGTTTCCATGACTTAGATAGGTAAGAATTATTCAATTCTTGATTCTAGACACAGTTTCTATCATATTTTTAATGTTTATTTGGACTTCGATGTGCACAAAATTTGCATAATGATTGCTTCTATCTCATCTCACATTTGCATGCGATAATGTTTTCCTCTTGTGTTTTGTAAACAAAATTTATCCCTAAATAAGACATTTTGCACTAGCTTGTCTCTCCACCTAGTAATTCTTCTTTCTTTTCTTCATATAACTGGAGCCTTCTAATCATTGAAATCTCAGTGTAAATAACATTTTACCAAACAGGCACTTAAAAACTCTCCAAAATAAATTAACCAATTATTGAGGAACTATTGTATTAACTTATTTTAGTTTCTCCCACCATTTTTCTCCCTCTTTAATATATTAATTCATAATTCTAGCTGTCACACTCCAACCTATCCTAAAACTGAAATGAAAAATTTTCAAGAGCAGTTATCTTATTAGAGTTGTTTATGCTCTATTCAGAAGATTCAGAAATATAATCAGTCATTTTTAACCTTTATTGAACAAAATATATTGAAACAATAAGTTAGAAATTCTTGAGGACAAATTTAAAATGTCAATATCCAATATCAAGTGCATTAGGAAATAAGCGTGTCCTTTTGGTTGATGTACAGACAGGCACTGTGTATGCAGAGTGCAATATAGGAAAATCTAATATAAGCACACGTAGCAATTTTCTATTTTTGTATGTTTTGAAAAATACTTTTCAAAATAGATAATTTTTAATTTCATAAATTTTCTGTGGTATTTTTAAAATTATATGCATTACTTTTTACATAAAAAAGCACAAAGGGTAAGTGAATATAATTTCAATGTATTTGGAACAGAATAAAGTCCATTTTGGGTTCTGGGACTCCCATACCGTGCTGACTCACCCACCACCCTGATGACCTGGTAGACTACTGCCTGGGGTACAAACCCATCAATTACCAAGATCTGGTTTTTTTGCTTGATTTGTACTAATAGTGTTTGGACAGAATATCATGTCTCACCTTGTACTAGGAATAACTACTACAAACACAACAATATACAATGTATTAATTAGTGTAACTATCCTACTAACCTGTTTGAAACCGTCTCATTGCTATTTGTTTCTCAATAAAATTAATAATAACAAAAAAAGAAATACCTTGGAGGCAGCATTTGTAAACTCACCCATGCCTGTCCAAACTACGAACTATTATATGACAGTTTCTGACAATAAAAAAATTGTGAAAATAATCTCTATTCTTAGCACCATCATCAAATCCAAGAAAAAGACCCTTTTAAAGTGTCTGTGGTCCTGTAAGTCCACTCCACTTTGGCAGACCACACCAGGAAGGAGCTGCAGAGTCCCACACATAGCAGGGCCCAGGAGGTCCACTCAGTCTAGTGGGTTCACTTTGGTGGGGCACAGCAGGAAGGAACCCAGTACAGTAGCCAGAAGCAGTCCAGGCCCAGCTGGTTCAGTTCGAATTCAGTAGATCTAGACCCGTGAGCTGAGGCAGACTGCTAGGTCCTATGGGTCCCCTGCTGAGACCCAGCCCTACAAGAGCATCCTTGTGGCACAAAGATGCAACAAGTAATTCAGGTGAGCTAGTCTTCCCAGAAGACTCCAGGTACATGAAGACGAGGTGCCCAGAGACAACTCAGGGGAACTAACCTAACTACAAACTCCCAGTTTAAGAACTGCTTTGTTATATAGCTATAAGGTTTGGCCCTGTGACCTAAAGTACGAACCCATTAGTTACAAAACTTTGTTAATTTCTCAATTTTACTACCTGTTATTACTATTGCTAATTGTACTACTGTAATTAGGAAACCATATCTGCCTTAACCACATATTCTCCTTCGGGTAACAATATCAGGAGATGCTCAAAAAATCCCTACACTGAAGAACAGAGGACACTGCCAAGCGAAAACCAATATCCCATTCTCAATCAATACAAAAGGCAAAATTTTGGAGCACACACAAAGAAGAGTCTCTGACACAGGAGAGATGCATTAAAAAATAGACTTTACAGAGAGGCTCTGACTGCAGTGACGCAGCTACCTACTATAAAACTTTCACAAAGACGTAGTGCAGAAGTCAAAATAGAGTTCTCTTTAAAATGGAAAATGACAAAAATGCATTCTCAGGCCCCAAGCCCACCTAGAAAAAAACCCAGGAGACAGCAACATAAAAGAAATTGGAAGCCACACACCTGAAATCTCTGAAATAATAGCAATGGAAGTAAAGAAACAACTGCAGAAGGGTATACAGGAAATCAGACCAGAAATAATATCCCGGGTTAAAAAAAGAAAGAACTGTATTGAAAGAATTGCTAAGCATTTCTAAAGACACTGATAAAAAACATAGAGGAGAATAGAAAAATGATGGAAACCCTGAACAAGAATATAAGAAAGAAATAGAATGCATGAGGCAGATTAAAAGAGATAAACAGGAAATTAAAAACTCAATAACAAGTTGGCAAAACTGTTTGAATGAAAGTGAAGATAGACTTTCAGTCCTTAAAAACACCATCGCAGCTTGCAAAAATGTAAAGAAAAATCTCTTCAAAACAACTAAAATCCAGGAAATAATAATTCAATATCTGCAAGACAATGCAAAGAACAACATAAGAATAATAGGCATCAGTGAGAAGGACAAAGCCAACACAAAAGATATAAAAAGAATATGGGCAAATATAATAGCAGAAAACTTCCAAAATATGGGGAAACAATTTGAAATTCAGGTAACCAAGGCATATAGAACTCCAAATAATATCATCCCAATTAAAACTACACACAGAGATACAATACTCAAGATCCCAGAAATTCAGCACAAGAACAACATACTAAAAACAACTAGAGAAAAGAAAAGAAACAGATCATGTTTAAAGGAAAAACCCATCATAGAGCAAAGTATTTG